AGGTTGGCATGTGGCTTCAGACTTAACTGGCAAAGTTTTCAACCTTTTTTTCACCAAAGTCGATAAGACGGGGAAAAAAGTGTACATCATTAACCACATCAACCGCCAACCATTTACCTAAAAGGTATACTACAAACATTTTCAACAGCACTGTAACGTTTCCATACCGAGGGACTTCTCCACCAAAGCGTTGTCTGTGAGGGCAATGCGCTGTTTCCTGATCTTGCCGTACCCACGTTTGTAGACGAGCTCGCGCACAGACTTCAGGTTGGGGTATCTAGGGGGGAAAAAAAACCCAAGGTTCCAGTTTTGAAAGGAGCACAAATCAATGATGTTAACGTGTGTTAATTTATAAAGAAATAGGATTATAAATACTCATTTGTTTTATTTAACTCAAAAGATACTTTAAATTTCAAGCATACCTGAAAAACACTTGTTTTGTAAATCTAAGTAATTTGAGTTCTTCTAATGAGTTTAAGAGGCATTTACAAAATATTAAAATATGAACCCCAAAACATTAAGAGCTCAGATTTCATCTCTCCAAACCTGGCACTTTCATGTCTAAGCAGTGGTGGGCAATTTGTCAAAAAAAGATTATGTACATCATTGTTTTGGGGAAGAAGCATGATCTACAATCTGAATGGCAATTCTCCCCACAGATTTGGTAAAACTCATTGCATTAACATTACAGAGTGCCTGGATACTAAACCTGACCGTTCAAATTTAGGCTCAAGACTCAACTGACCAATCTGAGGATCCTATTTTAATCTAATTGGTATGATTGAATGGTAACAATTCAAATTTCTGCAGCTTTGATGAGTCTTTCAGGATATTGTGCCACTGTGTAATGCATCTATAGGGTTGTTCTGTGTTATAACCAATCCTGCTTTGCTAAGATCTTATGAAGGAAAAAGTTTAGTTTTAAATATTAAATCTACACAATTCCTCCCAAATGCAGGTGTGCCAAATTAACACAGTCAGCAACATGCAAAAAATGTTAAGTCAGTTAAATACAAAGTTAAATACAGTTAAATACAAAGCATTACACAGTGGCAGATGATGGTGTTTCTTGGACTCCATCATAGTATAAAGAAATATCAGTAACCTAGTACAACATTGGGAACAATATTGCATCTACCAATACAGATCAAGTTATCTGCATCAAAAGTGTCACTTAGACACATCCAAACAAGACTGACATAAATGACCGGACAGGAGTAACCCCAACCAACTATATAAATATCAAAAATGGAAGTATTAAGGTGACCAAAAGCAAACACTACAAGTCTAACCTACAGTGTACTCGTGTGCCAAGTAACACACACTTCCACAGGGCTGTTGTAGTGAAGATCAGGTAAATTCTTCCATTACAGCAGCACACAGCAATGTCAAACACACAGAGCACAAACATTTCCATTGGGTCTTTAACATCAAGACATTAAAGCTTTGTGAAATATAGCCAAGCATTTACTGTGTTTAGTTTGACACTGGCTTATTTTTCTATAAACTGTTGAACAGTACTTTAATGTGTTGATTTCAAGTGTCAGTGAATGAACACTGTAGTAAATGCCAGGTTACAAAAGTTTCTGGCTGCATCATTACAGTATGAAGCCAACACACTCACATTTGTCAACACACTGGCATGTACCACTATGGAATGTGGTTTCAGACAAAACTGGCTTAGTTTCAGTCAGTAATCACCATGGTCGATAAGATGGGGAAAAAAGTTCAGCATCATTAACCACATTCCAAGTGTATCACCTATTTAGAGACGTGCTAATACCCCCCACCATCGCTTCTTATTTCTGAACAGCAGGTTTCAGAGTGACACAGTCCTTACCCCCAAGCGATGTAAGGCTCTGCAATTCTGAGCATGTTGATTGAAGCCTTGTTCAGCTTGACAAAGACACCATTGAAGATCTGGCGCAGACGGAGCAGCTGCAGAACTTTGCGGACCTTGGGGCTCACACCGTTGATGCTGAAAAAACAAACAAACAAAAAATGTTGTGATTACTGTTTGGACTTACCATCAAAGTACAACTTCCTAATTAAGCTGCTTAGAGTGGTTTCAGAACATTATTGGCTTTTTATTACAAATGTGTATCAGCAGAGTCGATAAGTCGGGGAAAGAGCATGCATCATTAACCACTCAACTGTATTTATCCACAAGGACTGGCTTAATCATTCAATAAAAATGACTTTTCAATAGCAACTGAATTAACAAGCAACTGAGCAGCTAAAAACAAAGTAGTAATGTATGAGGCTCAGCTGCTGGACATCCTCTCATGTGGCACTGCCTGCACAACACCTTACAACTGATTGTGCAGTTCTTTTAAGCCAGATACAGAGAAATCCCAAGCAGTGCGCATCACTCACCCTCTGATCCTGATGACAAAGGCCAGTTTGGGCTCAGCAGGCACATAGAAGTTTCCCACTTTGCGAGCCATACGGCCCATTCGTATCTCACGCCTGTACATCTGCCTGTACTCCTTGTGGTACTTCTCAGCCCTCTTGTAGATCAGTTTCCTGGTCACCTTGCGGACCTGAATGCAAAAGGGAAAACACGTCGAAGCAGTTCAAAGCTCTATCCGATATCTCCATCCATACGGGAATACTTGTCTGCACAAAGCTTCACTTTACCTTTTTCTCAGCCAGCAGCTTCTTGACACGCATGGCCTTCATGGCCGCGTAGGCCTTTCGCCTTTTCAAAAGGCTCTCAGGGACCGCCGGAACCTTTTTTCTGTTTAAACGTTAAAAAAATATGTTGTAAGGAAAAAATCCGAAGCGAGTTGGTGGACAAGATACCTGAACACATGTACATCGCTCAACAGAAACGATGACTGAATCATGGGGGCTGCTAGCTTGCCAGTCACTTGCCGGCTTCCACACAGGTAAATACTACTTCATACAATAGCTCGAGACTAGAGAGGTTTTACAGCAGCATAAACTCAAAGGTTGCTGAAATAGCTGACTATTATTTTAGTTCTAATTTTTTAACCACAAGAACTGGACACTTGTAATAATCCACAGATGCTAAAGAGACAGCCATGTTGAACTCGGCTATATGGACTCAGTTATTATAAAGTACCCTTAACAACAGTAATAATCACCATCTGTAACAATACTGCTATTATTCTATCGTACATGAACTAAATAGCCCATTCGCGTTGTAAAATTAACAGCAGAGGCTAGTTTAATGCTGGATGTGATTAGATTTTAACACAGAGGGAAACACTCACTCTGCGTCCGCCATTGCGATCACCGAGAAAGAGGCTTTTTCATTTGCGCATGTGCGGGATAAAAGCGTTAGGACCTCTGCGGAGCGTCCTTCCGACTGCCTGATGGATAAATTATAGCGACGTATTCAAAACTAAAGTTAAGCAAAACCCGCTGTAATAATGCTCTTGGATAAATGCTCCCTTAAATTTATAGGTTAATATATCAACAACTATTTTCTATGACTGCTGCAAGGAATATTATTGTAATAACAAACGCTTTAAAGGTAAGACAACGCTATAATACGTATTCTGGTGTAGACCTACCTGGCCTTATTTTGATACATTATTTTATATTGTTTCTTTTTTTTCTTTTCGTTTTTTAATTAATCTAAACGCTACTTTGCCCGACTTCCGTGCTACAGGTGGCGTTATGCAGCCATCTGACCAGCAGAGGGCACGAACACTTCATTTTGCAAAGCACGATCAGAGAGCGCCTGTAGCGTTGAACCTCCCGCCCAGCACTTTGCTTCAGGCTGTATAACAGACACTGTTCTGTCCCAGGAGGTTATGAAAAAAAAATCATAAAATGATATAGACTCGATTGAAGGCCACTTATTTGTTCATTTATTTATTTTTATTTTACAGGCAAAATGCAAGACACAAGTTTTAATTTAATTGTGAAACGTCGCCCAAATAGAGCTTTGCCATTGGTCAGCTTCTCAATTTGACTGTTCCAGTGCAGGTAGTTTTATATTAAAAATGTTGCCTTGTATTAAACGAGCCAGCGTTAAAGCCCATCAATCATTTAATACTCTTGAAAAAGCAGAGTGCCTTTTTTATCTGTAATTTTCTTGCCTTTTTGGGCACATTGTTACATTTGGAGAGGACATTTCCCCGGAGGTGTTTTTCACGTATTTGTTTTATCCTTAGAATCTACAAAGGATTCTTCCATCAGCTGTTTGTTCCTCAGACACGCCCACAAAACAAGCACAAGTGAGAGGCTGCTGGCAAAGGTTGCACAACCTGGAAGAGGTGTAAACAATAGCCTGAGGTGTGGGGGGAGCTGCAAAGCGGCAATGAACGTGTTCACAATGGAGACGATTCGTGTGCGCCTGTTTTGTTTATTATTATTATTGTAATTAAAGGGTAATTAGGCTATATTAATTAGGAAGAAACGTGATCGCGTAACGATTTGCGCGTGGAAGTATCACTTTTCTGGCCGGGTGCGTGGCTTACCTAACCGACCGACTTCACTTTCCTCCGTGGGGATCTCAGGGAATCTTTGCAGGCAAAGCTGGGATATGTCTTGAGCTGGCTTATAACTTTAAGTGTAGTTTCTGATTAACAGAAAAAATAATGTGTAACATATAATAATAACGTAAAGTGGGAATACTTTGTAAACATGATATTTTAGTTTGCTCCACGTATGGCTGGACATTGACCTGGACTTACAGGTCCAGTGCGGCCTGATCGGTGGCTCGTGGCTTTCTGAGTTTAAGCTGTTAAGATTAATTATATCTTTAAACAACTTGTTATCAAACTTTACATTGTTGGGATTTTCCTAAAACGCGCAAACACGCACGCAGAGACGCACAAGTAAGCAGTCTTTTCAAACAGGAGGGAAGCTTAATGTCTAATCTTCCTTGAGGATACAAAAAAAGTCCGAGATTCGTGTTAAAATCTTTCAGGTTACATCACCTTCATTCTGACAGGCGCTCAAGTCCCTCTCCTATTGGGTCCAGCGTTGATGGCTGAACAGCATAAATAGCGCCTGAGGTGCGCTCCACAGTGAGATGAGTGGAGAGGCAGCAGAGGAAGTAGGAGGCTCACTTGATAGTAGCTGCTCATAACTCACTGCAACTGTGCGTTATAGTGGCAACTGGACTCTTACCGAGCAGCATCTGAACTCGCACTCCACTCATACATCTGTCCTGCATGCGCCTAAGTTTCTTTCGCATTTTTTTGTGTCTTTTAAACCATATTTCTATAGGCCGTTATTCCTGTGATCCAAGTTTGTCGGTGTTTCCCTGATCCTGTCTGCTGCAAACAGGTTGCAAGAAGGAAACAGTCCCCTGCGCGTCTTCCGCCGCTTATTTGAATTGATAGAAAGCTTTGGCCAAGATGATGATAATAATTGCGGAGTTCTTCGTAGTTATTCTGAAGGTGCTCTGGGCTTTTTTAACTGCCGGAGCCAAGTGGATTGTGCGGCCAAAGGAGAAAAGCGTGGCGGGACAGGTGTGCTTGATCACCGGCGCTGGAAGCGGCCTCGGGCGGCTGTTCGCCAAGGAGTTCGCCCGGAGACGAGCGATACTGGTCTTATGGGACATAAACAGCCAAAGCAACGAGGAGACGGCGGAGATGGTGCGCCAGATTTACCATGAACTGGACACTCCAGTAACCAAAGACGGTAAGAGTGTTTTCTTTGAAGCTTTAAGGCTGGCAGCCGGCTTTCTGGGCGGTGGAGTGTTATTTAAAGAACACACACTGCAGTCCTGATCAGTGTAAGAATGAATAAACTAAAGTGTGTCAGAGGGAGTCAGTTAAACTGGACACAGCCTCAGATTTTCAAAAATTTCATTTTAAATAACCAAACAGTGGAATGATATTTCCATATGGAGACAGAACGTTTTTAAACAGTTTCACCTAATTTCGCTGTATTAACTTTGATAATCTTAATCTTTCCCTGTCTTTTATCCCCCCCCCCCTTCTCTCTGCAGGACCTGTTGGAGGGGTAGAGGAAGTCCCACCTTTCCAGCCGCAGGTCTACACCTATGTGTGTGATGTAGGGAAGCGCGAGAGTGTGTATTCCACAGCGGAGAAGGTGCGCCGGGAGGTGGGAGAGGTGGACATACTCATCAACAACGCCGGCGTCGTCTCTGGCCATCACCTCCTGGAGTGTCCCGACGAGCTGATCGAGCGGACCATGGTGGTCAACTGTCACGCACACTTCTGGGTGAGCCGATGTAGAAGCTGTTGTAATAAGGCGACTCTGAGGTTATTGTGAAGTTATAATGTGTGTGCCCAAGTTTCAGTGAGAACAGTGTTGCTGAATGTGTTAACTGTGATGCCAGGTTCACAGGAATGTCTCCGCTCTGACTCGTATGCCTGTTCATAATCTTATCCTTCTCTGTGCCAAACTGAAGAATCAAAGGTGTGTGTGTGTGTGTGTGTGTGTGTGTGTGTGTGTGTGTGTGTGTGTGTGTGTGTGTGTGTGCCTCCAGGCCTAAGGAACTATGACCATAAATAGTTGCCTTGCATGTTCAGATTTCAGCTCCACTTGCTTTCATTCTGCCAGAGGAAAGTCACGGGTTTGGCTTTTTAAAATCTTTGCCTTTGCTCCGCTTTGGCAGCCACAGCCGATGATGATCCCAGAGGTATGTCAGCGGCTCCGTCTCATCTCCTCAGCTGCACAGATCTGCACAAACCGACTGTGCGTGATGGAAACGGGGTTCTGTACGTAGGTTGGATCTGTCTTAGATCAGCTCACCACATTTTGCTGGCAGTTGGTGATTTGTTGCATATCAGATTTTTACTCTGGCTCCGTTCCTCGAGCCTTTCAGTGTGACTACTTATCTGAGAGGCTACGTGGACTTGATAGAGTGAATATGCTCCGCTTTAGATAAGCATAAGCTGTAGCGTGTAACCAGTTAAGCGCTATCACAGGTTTTTTTGTGTGTCTGTGTGTTTTTGGGGTGTGGGAAGACTGTGGTTGCAGACTCCCAAAGCTATTAGAAATTTAATAAAGAGCTTTATTCATTTTAAAGATGGATGTTTACTCTTTTGGAGCCTTTAGACCAACCTTATGAGAATCGATTGCATTTCTTCACTATAGCCACCCCCTGTGGAACAGCAGCAACGACTGTGTAAATTTGGCTTATAAGCTTTGTTTGGAGTAAACCGCATGGATTGAGAATAAGTCTTTCACCTGGCAGACTGGTTCTGAATTCACCACTTCATGCGTGAATTTAGTTGTCACAACATATTGTCAAGTGATCCAGAATATCTTCAGTTTTGAGACTTTGGCCCCAGGCTCTTATCTTTTTATTTTATTTGTTGTTTACAGAGAACGGCATTCTCAGTCATGCCATGAAACCACAGTGACTTCAAGCTTCCTAATCGAGCATGAAAAATCTCTTGTGGCATCGCTCACGTAGGTTGTGCGGATTTCCTCTTTAATGGATGCTCCATTCAAGCATTCTGCTGGATATCTCAGTGCTCTTTAAATCCAGGATTTGGAGTCAGGGTCCAGTGATTTGGTAGTAGATTTTTTTTTTTAAATAGATGTTTGTGTTTTCCTGTATTCTATGGTGAGCGTGGTTTCTTTAGAGGTGTGTGTGTGCGGAGGGGGGGAGCAGATGAAAGAAGGACTTAATGAATGGTGACAGCCAGAATGGAGGATGTGGTTCATTAATGACACAAGCTAGATGAATAGAGATTAAACTAACAGGGGGACTGTCCACTTTCCTTTCAAACTCACTGCAGTTAGTCACTGCATGCAGGTGGCAGGTATTATATAAACCTTTTGATTTTTAATTTTTTTTTCTCCCCTTTTTTTCTGAACAACAGGTACCTCCAACGGCTTACTTGTGGTTTTTGACTCAACAAATAACTTCAGTCTATGTCCGCGTCGTGAAAGGCTTTTAGGCCGGCTTTAAAAACCTGTTAAGGCACGTGTTTTCACATGTTTTACAAAATGCTATCCCTAAAGGTATGTTATAGGAGAATTTGTATTTGAAAAGTGCAAGAACAGCTATTATGATCAGTTTACAGAAGCAGGTTTCCAAGTGTGCTTGTCATTTTTTTCCACACTGACAAGCTTCTCTTTTCTTTTTTTAAAAATATATTTTGATGTCTCAGCAGTGCGCGTAAAAAGGCCTGGTGTGTGTTTTCTTTAGGCACGTATCGTACTCTGCTTTTTCTGTGTCACTGTTTGGCAAAACACTGTAATGGCAATGTCAAGCCCTCCAAACCTAGCTTCCTCCTCTCCATAATCCCGGACGGTTTTTAAACAGCCACGATTTCAACTGCAAATGGCTGCAAGTTCAAAGCATTTCCCACAAATGGCACAGCTGGGTGTAAAAATAAGCAAGTCCTCATTTGTTGGACAGAGTATTGGAATAAGGCAGGGATGGAGTTGTGAGCAGGAAGCGGATGGTAATCGTAGTGTCGCGTGGGTGTCTGCCAAACAGGCCCGGCTCAGACCCCACACTTCTTCTGTCTTCCTTCCACAGGCCCCTCTGACTCCTCCCAACATGATTTGGAGGCAGTGGGTGCAGCTGCATGGGAGTCACGGAGGCCAGCGCTGTTCATCCGGCTCTGCCACACACACGCTAACCGCTATGATTCAGTCCCTTCCTCCCTTTAGTTTTTTTATGAGAAGGGGGGGGGTCATCACTTTGAATTTGTCTGACGATGCTTTGATTAGTCCAGCTGGCAATTTGTGATGTTTGCAACTCGGTTCTTAGTCATGCTGGGAAAGGGGCTGTGCAGTCATTCCACCAGTGTCACCAGAGTTTGTTTTTGAGGATTAGCGTGTGTGTTTAGTGGAATGACATGAGAGGAAATGATCCTCAGCATCTTGAGCTGGTTATCCAACAGGTGGCTCGTGAACAATAAGCGGCTATCCGCCCTCTCGTGGAAATCCTACACCTCTTGTGCGACAGCACGAACTCACCGAGCGCTCGGGAGCGACACGGCGGGAAAAGAGCAGGGGAAAGAAAAGGGGAAGGAAGGCACTGCCGTCCCATCCACAGGCGAGAGGGTAATGGTAAGCTGCTGCTGACCCACTTTATCTGACAATTGGTTTCTTGTCTGTGGATCAGCTTGACAAGATGCCAGGCGACAGGAGCCAAGTTCCGCAGGCCGCATTCCTGCTGTAGCCAGAGAAAGGAGGCAGCCAGGCAGAAGGGTCCTACTTGACTGGTTTTATATGGGCCCCTCCTCAAGCCCAGTGCACCTGTACCCCGCAGTGAAGCTAGCCATGGCCGTGTCACTGTTCTCCTCCCGTACATACCTGTTCATGGGCTGTAGATAATTATATTTTTCTAGTGTTTTGGTCTGAAGATTACCCCCGTCCATTTAGCAGTTTAGTTCTTAAAATGACTGCGAAAGAGTGTTCATTATGATTGTTTGTTTTTTTGGGAGCTTTTTTTTTTATTTTTTAACTCTTTTATATTCCTTGTTCTGTCCAAAGATTTTATAAGATGGTACTAAAGAATCTTTTTCCTTTCATTACAAAAACAAAAACTTGACTGATTCTTTGAAAAAGTTGTTTTTCAGTTCAAATAGAATTAAACGAATAAAGTGGTTACTAAGAAAAGCAAAGGGATAAAGAACAAAAAAGATCATGAGATTCTGTGAATCATCACTCTGAGCAGCTATTGTGACATTAATGGTTCTCATACAATATTCATTACTTTTTTATAGAAACTTATAAAAAAAAACATAAAACATTTTTATAGGAAAATGTTAATAGACTGGTGCTTATATAGTGCTTTACTATTCTCGAAGCACTTTATACAACTTACCTCATTCACCCAGTCACACTCAGTCATACAATCACTTTCTCTCTCTGCGTAAGTGCTTTCTATACAACTTGGGGATCAGTATCTCACCCAAGGTTACTTTGCTGTTGGACTGGAGCAATCAAGGATCAAACCACCAACTTTGCGATTGGTAGATGACCTCTACCTCCTGAACCACCACAAAAGCAGAATTAAAATTATGATTTCATTATTCAGATAAAGCCCATGGCTTAAAACGTGACTATAAAACAATTATAATTCCTTATCCAGCTCCTAATTTGTCCAGAAAATCAAATTGACCAGTCATAAAACACCATACCTGGGGAAAACCTGAGCCTACAGATGAGCTTTGAGGTTATGTTTGTGCACTGATGTTTTCTAGAGAGCAGTTCTCCAAACTGAGAGTTTGAGCTGTGCGCAGGGGATGGCTACCACTTGGTATGGTCAATACAACATAAACAATCTGCATCAGTCATCCCCGATGACCACTAACGTCAGCCCAGCCCACTCAGATTTCATGATCTACTACAGGATCGGACAAGCTCCGGAGCTCAGGCATTTTTTTTCTCCCTCCCAACTTGGTTCTCTCGTCCAGGGAGAAGTCAGCCCAATTAAATGGCCATCTGGTCCTACGCAAAGGCCAATATTTTGTTCATATTCCTGTTGGTCAGGCGCTAGCACTAATGCAGCCTGACACCCCAGCTGCAAGAAGCTTTGTGTGGCTTAAATGCTCCTGGGGGCACGCACCAATTAGGGGGTGCAGCGGGCAGGGCACCCCCACATAGGCCAAGGAGGCCCGGCTGTGTCAGCGGGTAATTTAGCGGAACAAGGGAGCGTTGAGACCCAATTACGGCAGCTCTGATGTAAGACACGAGCCCCCGGTTGCCTTCACACATTTTGTGTCTGAGAGGTCAGTGGGGGTCATACCCACATGCCAGGATTGCCATGAGAAGCAGGGCGGGTGGGGAGAGATGGGACGGTCGGTCACATTTAGACCCGTCCTCGATCAGAGGAAATCATCCTTTCCTCTCAGTTCCCCTCAGACCACTCAGCAGAATTGTCCAATTGAATTTGTGTATTGGCTTTGCTAATAATGTATGTGCCAGATCGAGTCATTCCCCACTCTCTAAAAGTTGCTGTGGGAGTGGGGTGGGGGGGACGCTGGCTCAAATCAGCTACGGGCATATCTTAAGTTAATGCTTCATTTGCACGCAACTCCCTCCCTCTTTCACTGCCATTCTGGCTCGCAGAGGTCTTTCTCAGCTTTTGCCCGGGCTTCATGTTCTCTCACTCCCTCTCTTTAGGCCCCATCATTCAATGACTTGAATATTGCAGCAATTTATGTCCTGGAAAAGTGCAGATGTTTGGAACGGAGTCAGATCAGTTATACCTGACTGTAGAATAAACTCCGAAGCGATGAAGTCACCTTCCTTTAAACCACTCTGTAAACGTGAGTTATTGCTTCCAGTTTTATTTACCTCACTAAACAAGGAGAGGGACCTCTAAACGCAAATGTCAAGCTTAACGGAGATTACGCTTCAGGTCAGTAGGGCCGATGCAGTTAATCTCTGGGTGCAGTTTTAATGAGGCTCGTCCTCCCCCTACCAGAGGTTTCACGGCTGTACTACCTGGTACCGCGCTCTCTCGTCTCGCTGGCTCTGCGTCCGATCCAGGAAAATGTTTATAAAGGAGGCTGAATCGTTTCTCTACAGTGCTAACCAATATAACAGCAACCACAGAAAACAGCTTTCTTTCCCAAAGATGTCTTGGAAAGGTCCAGTTATTGGGCTGAAAAGCAATACATACTGCAGGCTGTAGCTGTAGCCCTTGTGATGATCATTATTTATTAATTACTAGGCTAGTTGAAGTCTCAGTCTAGTGTGTGTGTGTGTGTGTGTGTGTGTGTGTGTGTGTGTGTGTGTGTGTGTGTGTGTGTGTGTGTGTGTGTGTGTGTGTGTGTGTGTGTGTGTGTCTTGCCTCAGTAACATTTTGACAGTCCTCAAGGACGCGTGCATTGTTCTTCACTATGGCAGCACACATCTGACTGGAATAGATTTAGCTCTGCTCCCAACAAAAGGCCTGATGGTTGTTTTTGTAGACCTCCTAGTGGGAGAGTGATTGGTCAGTTCCTATCATTGCCGTCACATGTCACACCTGCTGATTGGCTCACGCTGTGTCCAGGGCAACTCCAAAGTCAGCTGACGGGCAGAATGAGGAATGAATCCATAGGTTAATCAAGTGTAACGGCTAACTCTGTGTGTTGCTCCTCTCACCGCCCTCGCTAGCGCCACCAGACTCACCAGTGGAACCACTCCAGTTAGAAACGCTTTCATCTTGTAGACTGTTCTGCTGGCTGGCGCTCCGGCCGGGCGCGAGGCCGTGTAGGTAGATGAGAAGCCTGACTGTATTGTTGGAAGTGTTGAGTGAACGGAGGCCCGTGATTGGTGTTGTCACCAGCTCTTTAGTGCAGGGCCCAACGGCGGGCACCAGATCTGTGTGGGAAAAGCACAGACTGTACGGAGAGGGCGACATTTCATCTTTCCCCTCTTCAGTAACTGACTCGGAAAGGATAGAAGTTCTATGTTTATATTTTCAAATGCTGCACCTCCAGCGCTCGGTCTGTTTTTATGCATGTTATGAATTCTCATTCAGACGCCTCTCTGTGCATCACCATGGAGAAGGGAGAGAAACAGAGGAGGGGGGGATGAGAGGGAAGGCAGAGAGGATCAAAGGGCTCTGGCACAGACAAACTGCACAAGTGAACTAACCTTCCTCTTTTTTCTCTTTGCCCTTCTGTCTCTTCTGTCCTTCCCCCCTTTAGACCACCAAGGCGTTTCTCCCCAAGATGCTGGAGCTGAATCATGGCCACATTGTGACGGTTGCCAGCTCCCTGGGTTTATTTAGCACAGCTGGAGTGGAGGTTAGTATCATACACAACAACACATGCACATCCCATCTTTCCCACCATCCAAAACCAGTGCTGTTCCCCAAAGGCGTCCGTGCCAGCTAGCACACTGAGACGGGGGGAGGTTAGGCCCCCTTTCTCTAGTTGTCCCTCCACCCGTTAAATTTAGGAACACAGATGAGCATTGGGAGCCTCTTATAGATTCCTCTATCTTCAGCAGTGGGGGTGTGGGGCCCCTATTGGGCTCTGGCCCCAGGGCCAGAATGAGCTGACAGCTCCCCCGAGGGACAGAGACATCTTCATCACTGCTTTGTGAACAACTTGGTGCTCACTCAGTATTCAGTTCACAGCAGCTTTCAATGGATATGGTTTTGGTTTTCCTTCCTATAGTTTTTTTTTTTTAAATGCATAATAAAATATTTACTGGGGGGTCATTTAACCGGTGGTCCTCCTAGAGTGTTTCATTTTCATATGTCAGGGAACAGAGCTCTCATTTATCCCCTTAGCTGAGAACAGTATCCATTTCTAACAGTCTGTAGGGATAACATTTGACTTTTGTTTAAGCATTTATCCGTAAAAATTAAGCCTACTCTTTTTTTGGTCACGCTTTTACGGTTCCTGGAAATGCCTGAAATGTCATTTCAGACGTGCAAGTTAGAACCAAAGCCATCGCCTGTCATGTGGGCACAGACCAATCCCTTTGTCCTCTTTCTGTTTATCGACATGCATCTGTGTTTGCCCAGGTCTTTTTCTTTAAAAAAAAATAGATTATTTCCACAGTGAACCACATCAAAACCTTCCCGCCAAGCAGCGCAGTCTCCTGAAGCATTGGAGAAGAATGCTAATGAAACCGTAGAACAGCGGACTCACTCTGGGTTTTTTTTTTTGTTCTTGTTGTTTTTTGTGCGTGGAGGATGTATCATTAACAGCAAAGAGAGACCTCTGTGGCCACGGGGCATGTTTCATAGTGTTCTGTAGTCCCTGGGTGCAGGCAGGGGGTTTACGGAGCTAACCCGTTCTCTCTCCCTCTCTTCTTTCCCTCAGGATTACTGTGCCAGCAAGTTCGGTGCCATCGGGTTCCACGAGTCGCTGAGCCACGAGCTGAAGGCCTCAGAGAAGGACGGCATCAGTATGACTCTGGTGTGCCCGTACCTGGTCGACACAGGAATGTTTAAAGGCTGCAGGATAAGGTTAGCGGCCAGTGTGTCCTCTTTAATAAGCTTTCGTGCACCTGCAGTGAGTTTGTCACCTGTAATCTCCACTTCATTAAACGGCCTCAAACACCCATTTTTAAAACTTCAAAGCGGCAGCTGACAATCTGTGGTGTTACAGTTATTATAAAGTGAGTGGTATTCCTTAGGTCAACACTGCTTAAACAAAGAGGGCTACTTTGTTTTCCCAGGGGAAAACCTCACCAACAGGTGCACCTGGGCTAGCCTCCTCTCCCCTCCGCCCTCCGTGCTGCTCTAATAGTCCTCACTTTGTTTGATGGGTGCAGTCAGCAGCTGGCATGTGCTCTGTCTTTATTGCCCCACCATTTTGGAGCAATCCTTAGTACCAGTATCACTTATGTTCATGGATTTCCTGAAGTTTGTCAGCACTCCTTGAAGTGTTCTCAGACTTCCTCTCATGTTTCCACCCACGTTAATTTACTGAATGACTTCAATCATCCCTAATCGTATTTCCTCATAAATTTAATTAGTTTAACTAAATTTGACGCACATTTTCCCTGAATTCCTTTCTCAATGATGACCGTGATTTCTTTCCCTTCAGGAAGGAAATCGAACCCTTTCTCCCTCCTCTGAAGCCAGAGTTCTGCGTGAAACAAGCCATGAGGGCCATCCTCACCGACCAGCCCATGATCTGCACGCCTCGCATCGTCTACATGGTCAACTTCATGAAAAGGTGAGCTGCCTCTTTTTCGTTTTAACCCTCCACCCCCACCCTCCCGGCCCACTCCATCGGCCTTCAGTGTACTGCGCAGGGGTATCCAGTGTCTCTCGCTAATCTTATCTCCGTCCTGTCTCCACAGCATCCTGCCCTTCGAGGCCATTGTGTGCATGTACCGGTTCCTAGGCGCCGACAAGTGCATGTACCCCTTCCTAGCTCAGAGAAAGGAGGCCATGAACAACAATGAGGCAAAGAATGGGATCTAGGGGGTGCTGTTTGCAATATGAACAGGGGAATTTAAACCTGCAAGTATGAGGAAACAACCACTGAGGACAGAGATGGAAAGAAAAAAAGAAAAAAAAAAAGACTGAATCTAGACTGGTGCACTTGCATTGAGCAAATGCAAAGGTTTACCATATTGTTCCTCTGGAACAAAGAAAGCTGTGTACTACAAAGGATTTATTTTTTGTCTTTTTTTTTTTTTAAGTTTGTTTAAAGAAACCAACATCTATATACTGTGTCACTAGTTTTGAAATCATACAGAAAAAGATATCCAGTAATTAACTATTTACGTAATGTAGTCACCAGCCTTATCTAGTGTCATTGTGGAAATATACAGTATGTTACTGTACAAACAGTAATCTTTTTTTCACTTATTTTATTTTTGTAGACATGCACTGTAATTTCTGATGGTTTTTGTCTATCTTCTTCTGATTTTTCTACACTGCCAGCATTCTCCGTGTAGAAAGGATTAACACAGCATTTCCGTCTACCCCACACAGAGGCTCTTTTTCAGTCAGGAAACAAGTTTCTCCGGCTCTGATTTTTAGCTCGTGCCATCAAAAGTAAAGTAACAGGAAAGAAAAAAAATCCCACCATTTAAGTTAACGATACTCCTTTTTTTTTCTTGTGTTCAATACTTGCATTAGATGCATATAGCGTATATTAATATCAATCCAAATGAAACGTTGCAATAGCCAGATTGTAGCGGACTGTAATCTTCACAGCATTTCCAATCTAATGGGATTCAGCAGTGTCCCTCGGCGGTCCTGTCACTGCACGAGGGAGTGGCGTCCTGGGCTGAATTGGCATGCGCGACACATTCAGAATGTACTGCTTAGGGAGAAATCCAGTTGATGATTTTAATTTCTTTTTTTAATGCGTTCATAATGTAAATTTGTTACCTATTGTTGTATTTTTTTTTCTTTTTAAAAAAGCTCCACTTTAAACTGCTGTTTCAACACTGATGTGATTGAGGGAAATGTATTAAAGACAGCTTTTCATTATTATTTTTTCCCCTAAAGTTAACACCTGCCCAGTGTCCACCTCGTCCAGTTAAAGTGTATATGTTTAAATATTGTGAATTACCCCAGTGTCCCCAACTAACTGTGTCCACCATATTTGATAAATGACTGTTTTATATACCCTTTTTATCATTATTATTATTATTATTATTATTATTTCCCTGAATTTCAACTACATTCCAATAGGCATCATTCCTTCAGTCACAGTGATGAGCCTAAATTCTCTACCTCTTATTTTTTGCCTTTTTTTTTTTTTTTTGACAGTATGACATAAGCCTCTTTTTGTAATTTTTCTGAAGACTGCTCCATAGAAGAGCAAATGTGGTTCCAATGTTTAGTGTCTCTACCTAACTTAAATTAATAAAGTGATTTAGATTATTACACGGTGTCTTCTTAGCCGCCAGTCAGCACGCGACTGTCCGTTTGACTTATACTGACATACCACATGAGTGCAACATCCAGCCTGCAGCTGTCATTCCACTCCTGTTTTCCCACACTTCATCTCTGCATCTAATAAAGGCACAAATGCTCTAAATCTAAATATAATCAAAAGGGAAAACTCGCATCCTGACCTCCAGCGAAGTGTTTACACCCACATTCCTGCCTCTAAGTCTGGTGACCTGAGCTGCAGTCATAAATTGCACAGCGATGACTGTAGTTATCCACTCTAACCTCAGATCAAACCATTATTCAGCACAGAGCACAATGAAATTATTTTGAATTCAGTGAATTACTGCAGTGAGTGACAGGAAAGAGGATCTTCTGCAATGCTGATGAATTTCTTGGGTGCAGTTTCCATTGTTGCAGCGACACCCACCCAGCCCTTTTCTTCTCTTTTCGACTAGTATCGGTATCACTGCCCTCAAACGGTGACTCAGGCACCCTTTAGACATGGGTGTTGGCTAAAGATGGTAAGAATCATTTGTCTTTGTAAGTAAATATACTCTTATATGCAGCACACGCAAGCATGTGATTTTTTTTTTTTGTTTGTGCTTACCCAACAGTCTGAAATAGTCAATCAAGGTCACAGAAAGTCAGGCGTGTCACGCTGAACCACTAAAAAGGAAAGAGGACCTAAAAGTCCCAAATGACAGAAAAGGCATCAGAAGGTCAGAATAAGAACAATAAGGACCCATCGGTGCCACAAAAACTCTACCGCTTCTGTCGGAGCTGTTTATGTATCTGACCCTGACCTTTTGCTTACCCAGAGGAGGGGAAAATCAAATTTCCTAATTGGTGTCAACAAAGCATCACATTATCGTGAGCTGCATTTGGATTCACATGTTCAAATTGCTGAGTTGTTTGTGCCAGGCTTGGAGTTGCCTTTGAGGTCACATTCTTGGTATTTGACAACAACTCGGGGGATTTTAGTGAGAGACAGTGCAGTTTATTACAGAAAGTTGGACACCAGCATGGAAAAACTGACTGCTTTTATTTATAAAATTGTGTAAATCTATTGTAGAACATTACCAGTTCCGAATTATGTCAGTGAATTAACTGAAACTTGAGGAAAACACTGATAAGACAAAGACAATTTTAGAAACCGACTGTGCTGTAAGCCCTGGTATTTCTTGCAGTTATCTTGTAGACGTGGCTTGCACACTTTCTTCGAGCTGAAATTAGAAACATTTGTAAATGTGAGTTAAGCAGGGTTAAACGATCTCGAAATATAGTAGCTACCAAAAACAAAATGACACTGAAATACTTCGGAATAAGCAAACATTTGTATTTTTCATGTACTGGATTATCACCAAGCACTGGCATAATACAAATCTGCAAATACATTTTTCTCTTTAAGCATCTTTCATGTTAAGAATTAGTAAAATGACTCATAAACAGCACTGCAGTACATACTCACTGCAGGTCCTGTGCATTTTTTATGAGTTATCTTTAAAAGAAAAAAGTATTTTAAACATTTTAACAACCATATTTTATAGTAGTTATGAAAATCAAATAATTCTCGTCACTCTAACTAATAACACATGTTTAAATGTGATCAGGGTTCATTAGAATCTAATTTCCCATAAACAGATTACAAAAATCTGATTACAAAAACCCAATTGAATAAAACTCATTACCAGACGCTGATTTCTTTTCCCCCTTGTCTGGACTCAGCTAATCAATGTCATGTCCAAAAATGCTTAAGTTGTTAAACTGGAAAGTCTTGGCGTTAATCTTCCTAACAGCTATCAGTGTGATCGCGGACACTTATCTCCCCACAGAGCAAATCGATTCCTTTTGTCCACCACAGACAACATAGCCGTCCTCCAGACACTGCTGATCGGTCCCTGCGAGTTTCTATCGAACCTTTTCGTACAGTGCTCCTCTGCTGTGACTAATCGGGGCTGGATAAAGTTGCTCGGTGGCAAATTACTTCTTATAGGAGGGAGCGTTGTACTGACAGTCTCAATCCCTCTGTGTACAGAGGCAATCAGCACCGAGCGCAGCCATTTCCAGCTACTGTTGGGACTGAGTGGAGCTCAGTAAGTATGTGAAACAACCCCTTTACATAGAGTGGTGAAGTACACAAAATACAAGAAAACTATTAGGTTTTTGCCTTGTAGTATTTCTTGGACATTCATCAACTTCTACAGGATTCCCCTCCCTTTATTTTAAATCCTGGTGTTAAGTAGGAGGACTTCAGGAAGGGGGGGTCAATGAGACATAATTCAGACGGAAAAATCAATGACTCTGGCATTTCCTTTTGCATAGCACAGACAAGCTTCACAGTCCCATTGATTTTGTTCTATTTTGAGACGTGAGGCTCACTTCCCATATTGGTTGGTTCAAAGTGAGGCCATTCATCTTGGGTCTAACATGGCCTCAAGCTGGTCCGCCACTACCTGAACAAGCTTCTGGAACAGAGATCTGCTGCTAATGTATGTGAACAGCTTTGGCGCTCCTCAATAGCTAGCAGATGTAGCTGCCAGCTGAGTCCATTAGTTAGTGAAGCTGAATTAGAGCGCCACTGTCCCATTCGCTCATCCATTTCTCTAATGGGGGAGAGCACAGCAGGTCTAGTGATGCAGAGACTGTTGGATTTCTGGAGAACGGCACAGGTGGTGGAGTTACATGAAGGAGGCAAGTAAAAGTGACAGAACGGCAACAGAAGTGTGAGATCGATAAGGTGGATATAATACACCCCTGTGCTGATAATCTACAAGGAGAGCACACAACTGTGTCCTTCATGACAAGGAAGAAAACTAACAGAAGTAGGTTTGCTTGTGGTAGAGATTAACTAGCTGGAATGATGCGGAGATTTTGTAGTTATTCATTTGTAAAGTAAAGTGAAAGTGAAGGACATCTGGGAACTTTTTGGCAAATAAGCAGGTCAATGTGGACGTGCTGTTTCCCTCAAAGACACTTCAGGAAATTAAACTGTTACTTATTAAGGAAGCAGCTGAAATTTGTCCTCAACAAGTGCAAAATGTAGCTATGAAATTACTCAATTTCTCAAAGATTTACATTTTCAGGAATCAATTCAAATCTACCAAAGAAAGGTAGGAGAAGAGTAGTGTTTTAGAACAGCTGAGTGAAATCCATGATGCTGATCCAATAAGAATGTGTGAATGTGTCATAAGAAAATCCACCAACATCCCACACTGGAAGATCTTTATCAGACAGAAGGATTTGTGTGACTTACACACGGATACAGACAATTCCGGAGGACTCACTAACTTTTCATGTAACTGAGAAACAGCAGTTTGGGGAGTTCATCCATCCATTGTCTTCTGCTTGTCCTTATCAGGGTTGTGGCCGGGCTGGAGCCTATCCCTGGTACCATATGGCAAGAAGCGGGACATAAACCCTGGAAAGGTCGCCAATCTGTTGCAGGGCAGTTTGGAGTGTTAATTTTGGACATCAACATTTTACTGATGACTAATTTTGACAGCCAAAAACTTAAAATCATTGTAATCATAATAATGCTAAGAAAATTTGGGTTCTGGGATTCATGTGAATACCATCCAGGACTGGTGAGTGACGGCCCAATGGCGCTCCCCGATGGCAGCAGTCTCCCCCAGCAGGACCACATCTCCCACTTTGAGGGATAGTGGGCTACACCTGTGAAACACCCCCTTCCTGTCACTGTAACATAGTTTACCTCCACATTTAATCCCTGAGATTTCTCAATATAGAAAAAACAAATGCAATTACGAGTTTTTCTACACGATAAAGAAATGAACAGCTTTTACTTTGGTTTAGTATGATGGGGGAAGTTTTTAAGGAAAATTGATGAAAATCCATTTAAATAGCAGCAGGTAACATCCCATCAGTGTTCATTCGCCAGCGCTAGGCTCTACAGCTAATCTAAGCTCACATTGTCTCCTTTAAAAATGTGCCAAAGAAAAGTGGCTTTTTTAGAAAGAAAATGACATTAATTTCATTCACTGAGATATTGGTTTTTTACACCTGTTTGAAGAAGCAAAGAAGAGACAAAGAAACAGTTTTTTTCCACATGAACTGAGGTGTTTTTACTGCATTTCAGTAACAGACACAGCCTTATTACACATCGCACTCACAGCGAAGAAGAAGACACATCCTCAATGTCAGTGGACAAAGTGATCCAAAGTGGCCTTTAGGGAGAGAGAGCCTGCAGGTTAGAGCTACAGGCTCTCTTCAATCAAAAGCTGCACTCCAGAATGCAGGCATTAAAAGCACCCAGTTGATGCCTTGGTGGGTCAATACAACACACACAATGGGTGTAGATGTGATCGACAAAACTGTGGGGCGGAGGGGGGAGGAAGGGGGGACGATCCACTGACATAAAATCACTGGAATGGAGAGAACTTTTCATGCAGACCGTACAAAAAAAACCTCTCTGGAGTTATTCTGAAAGCTTACTGGCACTGGAGGATGTGTGCAAAAAAATGAAAAACCTAGCCACTGTTGAGGAGAACTGGCCTATTTTATGACCTAAAAAGTACACATGGGGCGGCCCATTCACCGCCGTTGATCAGGTGATGCTCCAGTGATGCTATGCCAGTGCGGGGTCATGTTAAAACAGGTAGGCCCCCTCAGGATGTGAAAAGGTTAACCCAACCTTTCCTCCTGGGGGGTCAACACTTCTACTGATTACTGCTAACACCAGTTTTGTCCTTTTTGTCCACATGAAAAAAACTTTTCTGTGTTATTTTTTGGAATATGATACTCTTGCAAAGTCATACACATCCATATAGATAGATCAACTCTTTTTTTATGTCAGCATACAAGGTAAGCTGGGTGACTATATATGAAGACAACAACTACAACTTTCACAGCACTGGCATTGGTTAATTTTAAATACAGTACTCAAGCATTGTTAGATTGATAAAATCAAATAAGATCAAATAAAAAACAAAATAAAAAATTAAAAGGAAATATAAAACCCCCGAAGAAAAAGA